ATAACTTGGGGGCCGCCACCGTTGCCTGGCTCTTCTGCACCCCCACCTACAAAGCCGCAAGCACCCTCCAACAAATTGAGTCGGGAAAAAACTAGCGAGTTTCCCAGGGGTTACAAATTCTCGGCAAAGAAAGAGCGAGATGTAATTAACGGTGTCGCGCAGATGATCCTGTCCTGCATTTGAGCAAAACGGAGATGTGGCGCGAATCTAAAATGACTGCTTTTCATTTCGGCACGGAAATTGTCTCGCGTGCATCTCTGCAGTTTTAAAGTGGATTTTTTTTCGTCCGCTTTTGAGCTTGTAGTTTTATTTGTACTCACTTTTTAGCGATCTTTTGAATAAGGAAGACATGCAGATTGTTTTTTAACACTTATAAGCATCATTTCGTCATCGCCTATTTCACCGTGAAAATTTTAAACAAGTGCCCTTAACGGCGCGGCGACCCATGCGGCGATATTTCCCCTGCGCTGCCGTCGAGAGCCACGAGCAGACCCGCTGAGCGCCGTGTGCGGCACAGCCGTCCAGGACCTGACGTAACCTCGCCGTGTCCTCGCAATCACCGCTTGGCGTGTGCCGAGATCTTCCTAATGGGGCCCTTGCTTCCCTGCTGACAGCTCCCATGCAGTTACAAAAAAAAGTATATTGACACGGCGCGAGTGGAGTTGGTGGCGCAGTGGTTATCGCGCTGTGCTATGAACCCGACGAACTGAGTTCGATTCCCCGGCCACGGCTATAACATCCGTGACGAGTGAAATCTGAACCGGTCCTGGGACCCACCCCCCCACCTTCACCGATCCCCACTGACAAGCGTGGAGAAGCATGGTGAAAACACCCCCATGACCGACACGACGTGGGGAGGCCCCTTCCAGCCTTTTGATTATTATATCATATAGACATGTACATTTAATGTGAAACGTTACGTATGGCATGAATTGATATCTGTGTTATTAAGTTGTGCAATTTATATATATCATATTTTACAAATTGGCATTTAAAATGCCGCTTTGCACGTTTGTGAATACACAACAAATTTAATTTCATATATGCAGTGGGTTTAATTTAACAACAAACTTGCAGCGTAACCATTCGTTTGTTTAGTTATCTGACACACTTTAAAACATTCATGGCCAAGTGTTATTTACACAATTAACAGCGCAAAGTCACGTTTGTTAGTCCACACGCGCACGGAGGGAAGCGATGTACGTGCTTATATTCCCATTTGTTTATAAATGCAGTTGCTGAACACAGGCACAATGTTGTATAACACAGTGACCAACAACTTTACATGTTGTTGTTTTAATCAGTCAGCTGCCTCTGCATAATCACTGCCCCTATAGAGAACATGCACGCTGCCCACAAGTAGTTTTTTGGTGTGTTTAGTTTGTTGTCCTTCCCCCGCACCTACAATTAGCACAGTTGGCTACGTACGGTACGCAAGAAGTTCAAGATACATAGGCTTCAAATAATGCCCGTCAAATCTTGACTTGAAGCTTTCGTGACTGCAGGAATTAATATTCTTTGGGTCTGTTGGTAAAGTCACGTAGATATGTTCAAAGAAAATAACAAAAACTACGACGTTTCGATCGCAACACAAGCAGTCGTCTACGAGTACCATTAACATTAGCTGCCCCGCCCATGCTGCTGACACGACCGCTTGTGTTGCGATCGAAACGTCGTAGTTTTTGTTGTTTTCTTTGAACCTATATACGCGACTTTACCGAAAGACCCAAATAATATAATTCCCGTCATTTAGTAATCCCAGTTTTTTACCCAGACAGGTGGGCACAGTGCACATTGAGATATTTGGCCAGCTCCATAAAGAGGTGTTTGGCTTTGTGTGGGAGCATATCGGAGAACCCAGGGAAGACCCACCATGCATACGAGGGGGTGACACTCAGCACTGGCATCTCCTGGCGACAGACTTCACATCCCCAGAGGCCTGCAACACCTGGCAAGCCCCAGCGGTCATCAAGCCAAATGCTAACCGGGCTAAATCCTGCTTAGCCTCTTGTGTCCAAACAAGACGGAGAGCCCCTTCACGGTTGTCTATAGCAAGGAGCCCGAGATACTTTCCTGCGTGGCATCGTAGACAAGGCCCCTTGTCTTTGGCACCTTGCGCGTCTTAATATTGAATGCGGGTGGGCAGATTGGCTCAGACGCAGATGCGCCCATCCCTTGACGATTGTGCATCGCGAGCTCTGGAGGAAGCCTACGCGTTGGCAGCCGGTTTGGCGAGTGATTTTTTTTTTTTACCCTCTGCGCTTTGTCCAGAATGTTTGATGGTGGGGGTCAGGGCCGAAAGCACCGGAGCACAGACCGGCCCTTTAAACACGATCGTTAAACGCAACCACGGGTCTCGGTCAGAGGCGCGACCACTTTAGACGTCTTTTAACCGCGGCGTGCACTTTGTATTTAATTAGTGGCTCGTGTTGTAGCACAACTGGCATTGTAAAATGTTGACCTTGGAGGTGCGTCGATGGAGGAGTTGATCAGTCCGGCCGTACGGCGGTTACACTTTCTTTATTTTGTGCCGCCCTTCATACATTTAGTTGTAAGGATTCATCTAGTTGATGTGTACGAGTTTGTGTAAGCATTTGTTTATTGTCAGATGCTCGACGTGCGGATATATCTGTCTCTGCATACATTTTAGTGCGATGCGTAACAGCATGCATTAGGCACGTGCTCCCGCGTTTTTGTATAATTTATCCGAATAATCTGAAAATCAGATGCGACAATTTTTGTTGCATAAACGTCACTAATATGGCGTCACTCCCGTGCCCTCTAGCCAAACAGCGGCGTCGCGCGGCAACGGGCGACGCCGCTCTTGTAAAGCACGAAGACAAATTTGTTGCGACGTTCCGAATGAAAGACGGTGAAATCCATTTCATCCACCGTCGTCCGGTGGGTGGCCCACAGTCTCACGTTACACACATGCGGTGCCACCCTTTGCGTATGCGAGGCCACCCGAAGCACAAGCGCTTGCTTGCTTGGACGGCGCGTGTTGTGACCGTGCGCGCGACGACGATGGAAAGTGGTGCGCGGTTATTAACGGCTGAGGGCGGCAGCCAAAACGCGTGCCCATTATGCGCGGCCGGTCCTCTGCCGCCGTAAATCCTCGGCTATAACGAGTGCAGTTACAGAATTTTTTTTGGTGCACGATGCATATAAGTTGCTTTTAATTTAACCCATCAATTTAACCTCAAACCCGTGTTACCAAATTGCTACCTTTTTAAAGTGCCGTGGCTGCACTTTATTTAGATAAATGAACTCTCCCCTTGACATTCCAATTGCGGTTAAATTTTTGGACCATCATTCTTGGTTCAGATGGAGGCGAAATTAAAGTGATCTCATTAAATAATCAGTTTCTCCTGTCTCCCTAAATCTTGCTACAAATCTCGCAGCTGACAGGCGCGATCGCCGCTAATGCTTTAATCATAATGACCCGTCTCCAGGCAGCCATCGCTCTGGACCATCCCTGTCTCCGACCTCGGTTCCCCTCCGACGACCCCCCCCCCCCCCCGCCGTTGCCTCGGCAACGCTTCTTGCTTCAGAGCCATGATCTCTGACCTCTTTTTCCATTCCCACAATTCCTTGCCCTTGGCTCCCCGCTCTCGCCGCCCCAGCTTCCGTGCTCCGCCGCTCATCGGCACGTTCGGTTCCCCGCCTCGTCCCCCCCCCCCCCCCCCCCGGGTGTTTCCCCACCCCCCCCCCCCCCGGTGTTGCCTGCGACGGTCGCCCCCAAAAATGTGTCAATGTCAAACGCCCCTTCCTCGCAAGGGGGGGGGGGGGCAGATGGGGGGGGGGGTGATGCCCGGATGCACTGCCTGTGTCACCGCTGCGCCAGCCATCATCGCCCCCCCCCCGCCACTCCTCCCCCAGCCCACAGGGGCGGGTCCCCGTGGAACATTTAAGCCAAAAATGGTCTCTCGATTAGAATTAAGCTCAATGTAATTATTCCCCGGCTTGTGCCGAGGCCATAAATAATGGAAGTGTCAATTACAATGGCCCTGCCGAGGCACTGTGAGAGTGGATCGCTCACTGGGCAAGGTCTTTCTGGCCCGTCCTTTTTTTTTTGTGACGACAAGATAATTTGTCTATGTGCACACGCTCTCTCCGAAGTTTTCCCTCAGATTTTTTTCTGGTCTCTTTTCCCCCCTTCTCCGCATCGCTGAGTTTGATGGCCGCCGTCATTGTGTGGTGTCCTGTGTCTGGCGAACCCCGTTTTTCCGCGGTCATGTTTTTGGTATATGTGTGTAAATATTAACACGACGCATTCTCTCCCTGCTGTCCCTTAAAATTGGATGAAAAGGATTTATCTTTATTACGTTTTTGGAGTGTGCACGTGACGAAGTGTGTTTGTGCTGGGTCGTGTGTGTCGAGGAAAGTGTGCAGTTCCTGGGGAATGTTGCTCAACACCACAGCGTCATTGGCAAGTTGCATTTGAACCTGACTTGCTTTAACTCGGCATTGAATAAGTAGTGCTGTGTGCGTCACGGCACTACATGGCCCAGCGGTTGAGTGTGACATTACCCAGCCGTATTGCGTTCGCCGCTTGTTGCAGAGGTTCGCCGTTCCATTCCTGCAGGCCGCCCTGCTTACTATTGTGGGTATAAGAACCATGAATCACTTGCGCCAACTGCTGCAGTGGACGGGAAATATCCCATGACGGTCATTTCGAAAACAGTAGGCCATTTGTGGCTGCGTTATGGCCCAGATTTGCCAAATATGAAATTTTACCTGCAAGATATTCAACAGGGACTACACATTGCAACTTTGCCCTCCACTGCGAAATGTTCTGCAGACGACGTCTGTGAAGTATCATTTTTGTGATAGGGTCATAGTATGCAAATGGCGCAAATACCAAACGTGCGACTGATTTGATTTGATTAATGCTGTAGAGAAAAGCGCAGCTCGGCCGTGCGTGGTGCTGTGCCCATCGCCTCGCTCCCGCGGGGTGTTAACGCTGAACGTCCGATCGCGGTTGCCGTGTGCGCGTGCAGTTTGCGTCCTGGCTGGACGGCGTGATGCTGGTGTTCGCGCTGTCCGACGAGGCGAGCTTCCAGAGTGTGGCGCGCTACCACCAGCAGCTGTCGTCGCTGTGCAGCCTCTCGGAGCTGCCCACGCTGCTCGTGGGGACACAGGGTCTGCTGCTCACGCGCACCAGCAAACACACGCACGCGCACACGCACGGACAAACGTAATCACGAACAAAGACAAAGATTCCACGTTTAGCCTAGACAGACTGTTGGGGCAAGTGCTGTTAGCGAGCACCTATGAAGGCTGGCGCAGCACACGAGGGGGTGGGTGGCCAGCACTACGCCCGGCCGCCTTTTTCTCCACAGTGGCGATGTTTCCACATCGCACCAGGTACTCATTTGAGGCTGAGCCGACCTAGGGGAGGCCCAGGACCGGTTCAGATTATCGTCACTGGTATTGACCGTGAGCGGCAATCGAACTGGGGGTCGTTGGGTTCGTAGCGCAGCGCGCTAACCGCTACCCTATCGCACAAGCACACCTGCTGACTTGCTCGCACACACGCACATCGCGTACGCACTCACACACAACATCAGCCGTATTCACCACTGAATGACACTGGTGTCATTGGATATATTTTGAGGCCATGGAGAGTCGGTAAATGCTCCCTGGCAAGAGCTCATTGAACAGACCAAAACATTAGAGGTTATCAGACTGGCTTTGGCACGCCCTGCTGTGGCTACTCGGATGAATTTTAACCGCCTGACGCTCTCCTCGTCGTTGTTGTGAGCACTGCCACAACGACGCCAACAGCAACTGCCCAGTCGTGTCTTTACCTTGCCTCCTCCACAGTGGCCGGTCTAGATACCGCTGGTACCAGCCGTTGTAACGCTCTCACGCGCACACACGTTCACTGGGGGCAGCGAAATTGTTTTGTCCATTATAGTCTCGAAAATTGATTCTTGCGATGCATCTTGCGTGCGAGAATTGATTGTTTTTGATACGTATACGTTGTATGTAATTAGTTCATGTTGCCCCTGCAGCCATTAGATGCGCTACATTGACCCACGTTGTAAAAAAATATAAATATAATTGACTCTTGAATTGAATCGCTTTCCAGATTCGTGAATTTTTTTGAATCACGATGGGAGCGAATCGTATCCAGGCCCAATGTCTATGTGCACACGCACACACACACATGCGTGTATGGGCGTTCTTACGCACACTCACATACTCACACGTACCAATACGTGTAGAGTACATATAGAGTGCACACATACAACCAAACCCCATTTACATGCTAGCACACGCATACAGAGCATTCTTGCACACGCACACTTATGCACAGACAGATACAACTAATTAGAAACATACCCTCAAACAAACACATAGGTACACACAAATTCACACGCACACACACACACAGCACGCGCGCACGGGGGCACGCACGTCAACACTCTCCACGTGCAGCCAGCACGAGGTCGGGCCGCGGCAATACAATTCCGCGCGCATCCGCCACCTCCGCGGAGCCGCTTGTATCGATTAGGGGGAGACTTTGTCAAACAGCGGCCCTCGTCATTGGCGGGGGGGAGGGGGGGGCTCTGACTTAATGACCGAGTGAGCTCATTAAAAATCGGTGAAAAAAATGAAAGGGAGCTCTGGGAGTGTGCCGCCGCCGCCACTGCCGCCGTCGACGACGAGTGATAAATTCCCTCCTCCTCTTTAAATATCGCCGCGTTCGGAGTCTCGCGGCGCCCGACCGCCCCGCTCGCCCCGGCTCCACCGCGAGGCATGTTGCGTGTGAGAGGTGCAAATATAAAAGAGACGGATGAGGGTGGCGGTGCCGATAACGGTGATGATGATGATAATGATATCCCTCTTCCTCCACCGGTCACGTGGCACCAAGCGGCGTTTCGGCCGCGATGAATAACGGCCTCGACGACAGAGAATATTGTTTTAGGCGCAGGAAGACCTCGCTGAGTTTTTTTCAAGACTCGTTGTTTTTTTAAGAGGGTTGCGCTTTTCGATGTTTCGCTTGTTTTTTGTTGTTGTTGTTGTTGTGTGTTTTGGCTGTGGAGGGACTCTGTTGTGCCCGGAAATATCCAATCTAACACAGGTACCGGTCAGTTGAAGGCTGAACTGACCTCGGCGAGGTCCATTCTGATACCACCAATGTTAACTGTGGCCAGGAGTCAAACTCAGGTGGCTGAGTTCGTAGTACCTTCTACCAACCACCGCGCCACCACTTTTAATAGGTGCTCGTAAACAGCACTTTTTTCACCAGTCTGTTTAAGGCTACATCGATGTCTGCGTGTGTGGTGGTAAACATCGCCACTAGGAAGACAAAGGCGACCGGGCATGGTGCTGGCTACCCACATGTGCCATACCAGCCTTCATAGGCGCTCGCTAACAGCACTTTCTCCAACAGTCTGTTAAGGCTACACGGGGGTATCTTTGTCTTCGTGTGCGGTGGTGGTGGGTGTGGTGGTGCCGGCAGACGCGATTGGGCCGGGCAGCCCACGCACCGTCGACGATGCCCGCGCGAGGAGGCTGTGCTCCGAGCTGCGCATTGGCACCTACTACGAGACGTGCGCCACCTACGGCCTCAACGTGGAGCGCGTCTTCCAGGAAGGTACGTGGGAGGAGGCCCGGAACACCGTCCCGGCGCTGGGAACGTTTGTTACGTCCAAAAGGAAACAGTTGTCCTTTATTGAGCGACGAATAGGGCTTTCACGTCTGGCAGGTGACCACACATTGACCTTGTGCATGAGAGGCGCCCTTGCCGCTGTGACACAAGTGAGCAGTCTAAAGTTAGAAACAGGGTGGGCCAGGTTGACAAGGATTCCCCTCCAGTGCCCGATTAGTGCAGCTGAGATGCTTGCAGTGACGAATATATCTCGTCTGGGGGCGTAATTGGTATGCCTTGGAAACAAGGGACATCCTGATGTTTGTCTGGAAAGCCTTCCTGCACATCAAGGCTCTTGTTCTTTCTCGAGTTGGTCAATTTGATTTAAAATAGATGTTGGTGCTCAGAGGTGTTCTGGTTTAGTGGAGGGTTAAGGTTGTGATTGGAGAATCGTTTGGGTCAAGGGTTAGGGTTGAGGCTGGGGAAAATGTTTGGCCAAAGATTATGGTCGTGTTTAGAGAAGAGTTCAATTGGCACTTGTCCAAAGACCAAGCAGCTTTTTGCTTCGGATGATGATCAGAGCAAGTCACTGGATCGTACAGATGGCACTTTGAGAAAGAATCTCTCATAAAGACAGCCTCACCTTAATTCTGTCCAGGGGTTACAATTCGCTTTGGGCATAGACCTCAGGGCCTTTTAATACAGACGTCTGAGCAGTGCATCACTGGTTTTACACGGTCTATTTGTTTCCCATTGCAGCGTCTCCTTTGACGTGCTGCACGCACGCTGCTCAGTGAGTGTGTGCAAACGCAGCACTGTGGTAGGGAACTGGCCTTCAGGAGTAAGTGCACGAATACGATGGCGTTCAACTTCTGTGTTTGCCGATGGTCTGAAATTTGGCATGAAGATATGGACGCGAACTCAGGACCTGTGTAACCTTTGTCAAACATCTGCGCAGTTTGCCCCCTCTGTGTTGCAGGGCGATGAGAGATTTGAGGACGCACGCCAGGGCCTCGGTGCGCGCCATGCTTTTGTTGAATTTCTGAGATTTTGTTAAGGACTCGTCAAAAAGCTCATTTATGAGCCGGCACGGAGCGGTGCCAAAAAAAATCACCGCCCTCTGTAGCCAAAGCGAAGACAATGGCTCTCAGCAACAACAATGAGGAGGATGGTCGCTTGCTGTTTGACCGCCGCTGACCTTTGCCAGGCTGTTCCCTCTGTGCACATTTTACCGGCGAGCAGCGAACCCTCCCGTTTACAGCGAGCGAGCGTTGACGAGTCGGCAATAAAGAACGCGCCTCACCCGATCGCGTTGGGGAAAGTCACCTCGTGTTTAATAGATTACTTTGCAATTAGCCTCAGGGGTTGTGGTTTAGCCTAGTTAATTGTTGAATTCCTACGTCTATGTTTTTGTTGCTGTTGCTGCCACACCTCCTTCAGTGAATTCGACAACAAACAGATGACTGTTATTATTACTGCGCAATTGTCACACTCGAGGTTGAGAGAAAATGAAAGCGCTGCAATCTGTGGCAAACGGCTGCCGCTTGAGCTCATTTTTACTACAATTCACTTATGACGCTTGAGCCCAGGTGTCCGTGAAGGAGTTGACAGTGGGAGGAGTTTCAAAGGTTTAGGAAATAAAGCGTCGGTCAAAAGAGAAATAAAAGGAACCCTCCAACAAACAAAAAAAAAACACGCTCTCTTATCTTTGTGAACAGGCTTTAAAAGATGACGGTTCATGTTCCTTTTGGAATTGCACCACTGATGCTGGCAGGGGTGTAATGTGTGCACACTGGACCGGTTCATTCTCCTGTCGTGGCAGTTGAAACAATGACCAAGTTGCCTGTACTCTCCTGCCTCTGTCCACCCAGCAGTATAAATTGATACGCACACATGCAAATAGAAGACAGAGATCTCCCTTGCACTGCTCACGACAGAGTGGTGTGGCTGGAAAAAAACAAACCAGGCTGCCTTTGTCTGTCTGATGCTGATCTCCACACACTGCACCAGGTACTCAGTTCCGGCTGAGTTGACTGATACTAATAATGATGCAATTTATAAAAAATTTGTGGACCTAACGGCTGCAACTCAGAGGCGAGGAGCCAAGCTCAGAGAGGAAGCCCAGGGCCGGTTAAGATGTCAATCACCTTTGATGTTTGCCCTGGCAGTAATTGAACTCAGGTTCCTGGGTTCGCTAAGTACGACGCCACTGCTCCCCACACACGTACAAACACACATGTACAGACTAATATACACAAAGACAACGATCCCCCGTATAGCCTTAAAAGACTGCTGGGGCAAGTGCTGTTAGCGGACACTTATGAAGGCTGGCACGAACCATGCCTGGCTGGTCTTGTTTCCCAAGTTGCAATGTTTACATACTGCACCAGGTACTCGTTTGAGGCTGAATCGACCTAGGGGAGGCCCAGAACTGGTTCAGATAATCGTCACTGGTGTTGGCCAGTGAGCAGGTATCGAACTCAGGGCATCGGGTTCGTAGCGTAGCACGCTAAACCGCTACACTACCGCCTCCCCTTAATATAGTAGAGACTAATATACACACACATGCAAATGCTGTCCATTTTTCTATTTTACCACCCGTCCACCCATCTACCCGTCCACCCATCCACCCCATCCACCCCATTCACCCCATCCACCCATCCCGCAAGGACCCGGCTCTAAGCGGTCTCATTACAGTGCAATCTCCTTGCTGCGGCGCAAATTAATCACACTCCTTAATTACCTCGCCGAGCGCCGGGGTTGAGATTTATTTCTCGGCCGGAGTTTAATTTGAGCTTGCCCGTGACAGCGCAGGGCTGCGGCAGCCGTGAGGGTGCGGAGCGGAGGCACTTGCCACTGGGGGAGGCGCTCGTTTGTCAGACGCTGCCCGTGACAGCACCTGAACTTGATTTTGAGAACAATTTTTTTGTTAAATTGGGAAAAGTTATACTGCCTGCCACGGAATATCTAATCACACTTTATTCCGCGCGCCGGCCTAATGTGTGTATTTTACACTTAATGTATACAGCATAATTCATCCTAATTGCATTTGCTTTTGCGAATATTGCTAATCTTGTTTGCGTTGATGGCAACGTTGAATTACAACACGCAGAGTGTTTTCAGCAACAGACCTGACACCTTTTACTTACAACCACGTCACTCCATTTCATGCCATCTATCACACAATAAAAAAAAATACTCAAAGCCCTATCAATTAATTTCTACATATCTATATTATTGCATTTAACTTGCTGAAAATGTTTTTGGGGTCCAGAGCAGTAGGACTCCCCAATGAATAAAAAAAAGCACTGAAGTCCATTTTGACATCTTTTCCAAACAGTACAAAACTATAATCTATTTTTATTTTACCAGGTAAGGCCCACTGAGCTATATATCTCCTTTTCAGAAGCGACCTGGCCACAAAAGATAGCTCAACAAAGTGGCGTATCGTGTGGAAATTGCAACCAAATACTCTAAAAGCATGCTGATGAACGTGCGTTTAGAAACAAAGTACGCGTGGCTCTTGGGAGGCATGCGCGGGAGCGAGTGGTAGGGCTGAACACAGCTGCTCCATTCATAGTTGGCGAACAAAATTTAACTGCACAATTGTGCCCAAGCTTCCGAACCCTCACTTCCACGCCCGCCAGACACTTCTCGCTGTTGCCTTGCCGAACTCGGCCTCGCATTTCTCTGCCCCACTCTGCTCCCTAAAGTGTCTCCCTGCTTCCCCGTTCTGCGGCTGCTGCTGCTGCTGCTCACAGCCCGTATGCCGTGCCACCTGCTGTCTGTGCCACGGGACTGCTTGGGATATTGCGATCTCTGTGCAGATGTTTGCTGAAAGAGGGCTAGTCGTGTTGGGCTCAATTGCGGGGAATTACCGACGTACTTATTTACGTATTTATTTGTTAGTTTGGGGGCGGGAGGCCATGGGGGGGGGGGGGGGGGTGGCTGTGGTGGTTGGGGATGGGGTGGGGCGGATTTTGGCGAGGGAGAGAGAGTAGGGCTGTGCGGCTCATGTGGAGGTATTGAATTTACAGGATGTGGAGACACATCTGTTTGTAAGGCAGCCTTTCATCTGGACTCAGGATGTAATAAACTGCAATTATCTCATTAACCCCACGTAGGGAGGAGGGGCCGGTGATCTCTGGCCGCCAGGCTGTTCCAGCTGTACCTTTAACCCCAACCTTCCCGCCAGTGTCTCCCCCCCCCTCCAAGCCCAGCCTCGCCATCTCTTTGCCTCCCACCTCCTCTTCCTCCCTCGCTCCTCCAACAAAACATGTGCTCTGCTCTCCGTGCCGACGCTGCACGTATGCCCGAACACCACCGTCCACCCCCGGTACTTCTGTCCGCGCCTTCACAGGAGTGGACGTGGCCGGCTGGTGTCCGCTAGTGGCCACCGGCACGACGCTGCGTCGACCGGTTTGTGTTCAGAAAATTCCTCCTGCGCGTGTGTCGCGCCACCGGCCTCTTGTGTTGTCGGGAGGTCGAACGCGCGCTTGATTTTTAGGACTCTAGGAGAAATATTTCCCGCGTCCTATTTCGGACCATTGAGGAGCTAGAACAGTCTCCGATGGGTTTTTTTGGGTTGTGCCGTCAGAGGGCTCTTACGGCACAACTGTGAAGGCCCAAGTGTTCCAACAACAGCACAGCACTCTTAAGAGCTGGTGTCCTGCTCGCGTATTTTGGTGTTGACTCGGCCGCTGCTCTGTACTCATGCCTTCTCGAGAGGAGTTAAAGGAAACTCATCGAAAGTTGTTCCCCTCCCCTGGCCTTCCCTGCTCCCTCTCACCATCAGCAGCACCCCCGTCTGCCTCCCCCCTTCCCATTCATTGGTCATTGTCAAAGCGCTTTATTTGGAATCAATTGGCAATTATTGGAGGGGGTCCTTTTAAAGGTTTACCCTCCAAGGCTGTGGAGTGGGTTAGGGTGAAGGGGTCTGTGGGGTGGCGCTGGGTAGGGAGAGTTTGCTGACAGGGGCACGGTTTCTGTTGAACATGTTTTTCAGATGTCTGACGAGGTGAAAGAAAGAAGTCTAATTACAGGGTCAGAGTTGGAGGGAGGAAATTTACAGCGGATGACTACACGTTAACCCCTGGCTCCCCAGCCAGCACTCCCCGCACCCCACGATGCCTCTGATGTAGGGGGAAGCCTACAAAATTGGCTAAACATGGGTTCGAAAAGTGCAGCGAATTAGGCGTTCCGTGAACTGTCGCCTGGGGATGTGTAATGTTATCGTAGGAGCGCTGCTTTTAAAACTGCTAATAATCCCTCTGGTAGATTTGTCCAAAAACATTCCCCACCGCGCTCTCCTCACTCGTCCGCCACGCAGACTCCCATCCGGTACCTTCCACCCTAACCCCCAACCCCTCACCCAGTGCGTCTCCTTTGCCGTGCTGGGTATAGCGCCACACGTGGCATCCTTTTTCCCCCCACATTAGATAAATGAGAATTTTCGAGGACGCTCTAAACTGTCAATTTGAAGCGATCGTTTTGAAATTGACCAAAAACCACAGCCGCTGTTAATCGGCAAAGCCAATCGGCGTCACGGCCACATCAGCCTACATCAACCCTCCTGGCCGCTCTGGCTTGACTTTGACAGAAGAGACAGTCGTGTTTACAAGGTGCAGAGCACGCCTCTGTGGTCCTTGTGGGAAATGACAGGGAGAGAGAGCGCGAGGGAGGGAGGGAGGGAAGGAAGGGCCTCCGGGAGGGAGGGAGGGAGGGGAAGGGAGGGAGGGAGGGAAGGAGGGAAGGGGAGAGAGGGAATGATGGAAGGAGGGAAGGAGGGAGGGAGGGAGTGGTGTGGCTGTGACTCTGTCCCCGCTCCATTAGTCTCGCGCTGTTGGAGCCGCGATGTGACATCGCGCCACCGGGACGGGGCGAGGCTGGAGTGTAATGAGGTCGCATTAATCGCACAGCCGATTAAAGCGGATTAGGTAATTGATTTCAGAGATGGGGGTCTGCATCTCGGCTGGCACATACTGCCGTGCTGCTGGAGAGAGATTGGGGGTCAATTTGAGATTTCAAAGAAATAGGAGGGAAGAGGAAAAAGTAGCGATTAGTGGAGCAGGGCAGATGCCGTGCTGAGCGATGGGGCGTTGGCCTCCCTGTAAGGACACCTGCTCGTGGTTTCATGGCCTTGGCTTCTAACAACTTTTACTGGAGACCGATTTGCTTTAAACCTTTGGTTTTATATCCACGTCGAGGCACGTGTCGTCAAAGGGACGTATTTTATGGCCAACTGTAGAAGGCGATCCTGAGCGATGAAAATGGCCGCCCATTTGTCTGGCACGCCTCACGTTGACTGAATTTCACGTGTCGGATGCGACTTGAACAAAATTCACAAAAACCTCTGTGTCCAAATGAGTTGCGTGACCGAATTGAGGTTATAATTGGAGGAGAAGAATAAGAAGCGGCTGCATTGGCAGTTGTATACGAGCACAGACGGAAAGCTCCTCACTCGCCACCAACACCATTACCACTCCCTTTTAACAAAGAACAAAACTAGTTTGCTAACATTTCACACAATTACGCTTCTTCCGAGATGTTGTGGGCAACGCTTCTGATTCGGCAAAACGTCGGCACGCTTTGTGCGTCCGTTTCGCTCGACGGATGCGGACTCTCATCTCATCCATTTGTTTTCCCCCCTCGGTGACTCTGCCGTCTGCCCGTGTTGTGGCGCAGTGGCCCAGAGGATCGTGGCCACGCGGAAGAAGCAGCAGTTGTCCATCGGACTGTGCAAGCCTATGGTGACGCCACCCTCCACGCCTGTCGTTCCGTCGTCCCCCATGGGGCCCCTGTCCCCGCACCCTGCGCAGGTGATGACGCCACTGGCTGCTGTGCCCCTGACCCTCCACGTAACACAGGTGACCACCACGGGTAATCTCCACAGCCCACGTGAGCCACCCATGGTCTCCCTAATGTTGCCAGCTTGACTCTTGTGTGAAACACAAACAAAGACAAAGGTCCACCGTGTAGCATTTAACATACTTTTAGGGAAAGTGCTGTGAGTGAGCACCTATGAAGGCCGGCACAGCACATGAGTGCCTTTGTCTTCCCAGTGGCAATGTTTACACAGGTACTCATTTGAGGCTGAATCGACCAAGGGGAGGTTGAAGACCGGTTCAGATAATCGTCACTGGTGTTGACCTTGAGCGGGAATCGAACTTGGGTCGTCGGGGTTCATAGTGCAGCTTGATAACCGCTACCCTACATGCACACATACACCCACACACCTCTCAATCCCAACATCCCATAATAGCAATAACAATAATGTCCTTTTGGCAAAGACTTGGGGAGGCCTTCATCTAGCAATTTCAAGATCATGTAAGCTTATTTACACAGAAAAGCCTTACGGGGTATCTACGTTGCACTTCTTTCGCACCGTACATAGCCAACTGTGGTAATCGGAGCGGTGGTTGGATGGTTCCATTAATGAGAGTTTGGCTTTACGTGGGAGGAAACCAAAGTGGCCACAGAAAAACTCCGCTCACAAATGGGGTGATGCTCAATGCTCAACAATCCATTGTTGTGCTGCCATCTGCTGGCCGCCTTGCAATCCAAGCCAACGGTCGTTTGTATCCACACACGCAGCCCTCCGTCCAAGTATTCACCAGGCACATACTTGCTTAACTTCGGAGATGTGACGAGATCGGGCACATTAAGGATGATTTAGTTGCAAATGCTTCAAAACACTGGGGAGCGTGTGCTGCAGGCGGCAGTATGTTTATCAGCTGCGTGGCGACGTTATCGTTTACATTCTACCTGGTGTGCGGTTGAGCTGGCTGGCTTCACAGTCTAGTGACTGATCATGTCTCCATCCAATGGAGATTGATGTCAACTAGCCGTACAATAAAAAAATATCTCGAGTGCACAGCTTCGTAGGCCCAATGGAGGGGCATGTTAATGCAAATCAAGAGGTTCCTAGTGTCCATGCCAGCAGACATATCTACGGACTTCTTTGTGAAGTTCCTTCTTAGCAGGCCTCATTGACAAACTCTTTTGTAAAGTTCAAAAAAGGTGATGCCCTTTTAAGTATAAGTAACACTGATTGTGGCATTTAAAATAAATCAATAGCGAATGCCTGATTACAATGAAGCAAGGGTGAAAAAAAATTCAAGGAGGCGCTGCAGGTGTGGGGTTGTGCGGAGTGCCGTCGCGGTGCTGACAGTGAGAGTAGGCTGCCTGATTTTGCGGTCCTGAGCACTCGATCAAGAATCGACTGAGATTCATTTGATTGAACCCCCAAATAAATAAATAAAACTATTGCGCTGCTGCTGCTGCCAGGATTCAGCATCGCTACCACAAACCTAAATTTATCCTTCTTACCGTATCGAGTCCTGTGAATGCTGGGACACAGGCTGCTGGTAATTGTGGTGGGGTGTTTGTGTCTGTGGTGGGGAAGCGTGTCATAGTGGTTTATAAACTGATGCTCCGCTCTTGGCAACCTGGGTTCGATTCTTGCCCATGATGCACATCTTAAACGGCAAGTGGCATCCGAACCTGGCCTAGGGCCCCTTCTAGGTAGCTTAGCCTTGATCGCCAAAACCACCCTCTTCAGTGTCATTGTGATGAACAGAACATGGCCCTATTTAGTGCTGTGCCGGCCTTCATAGTCTGTTGAAGGCTATATTGGGGATCTTTTTTTCTTTGTTGTGCCATGACTGGAACAGCCGTCTGCGCTGCACGGAGGCCTTTACTCACAGACGCACGTGGCGGCGGCGGCAACAGTCGCGGTCATTCCTGCGCTCTCATCATCGTCTGCTTCCACGCCGGCCAGCACTGAGCGCGAAGTGCGGATTGACGGCGCCATCACCCCCACGTCGTCGCGCAAGCAGCCGCGGCGTCGCTCCATCTTCACGGTGAGTGCCTGCTCTTCGGCCTATACTGCCGTGCCCAGCACTCGAAGTTCGCGGGGCTGCAATAGAGGGCGACTACTCGGCTACAGGTACCGCATGTTCATCAGTAGGGATACACGCAGAGCTGACTGTGTGGTTCGGTAGGCTAACACCGTGTCAGAGACACTTAGCTGGGCACAACTGGTACACGCGAGCTCCGGTCAGCCTCACAGCAGCGGCTTTTGGCCCGCTATCGAACAAGGCCATCTGGAACGCTCTTTCTTCTGATATTAGAAAGCCACTGGAGCTAGTCGCTTTTAAATAGAAAACTAATTTCTATAGAACTGCTTTTTGTGTATAGTTTCTTGTCCTTCTCCCACACCTCCGATGAGCACGGTTGGCTACATACAGTGTGAAGGAAGTTCAACATACATACATACCTGGGTTTGAATGCAGGTTCAACCATGGTGTAGGCCCGATCGCTAGTGACTGCACAAGAAGCCATAATCAAATTTGGTTTGTTGCTTCAGTTGGCTTAGTCTGTGGCTGAGGTTTATGTAAATTCTGTTTTCAGGTTCTGTTTTCACTGATGAGCTTTACATTGTCTGAACAGAGTGGATAAAACATGTGCCCCTAACGTCGATAAGTGACTCCATGAACTGCTCTGTGATTTCACCTCCCGCGACTGCTCCCTGATGCAATGTGACTTTGTGGTGCTCGCTGCGAGATCTCCCAGTGTGAAATGTCTTCATCACAAGGCACCGATAGCACAATTAGAATTAAACTTTCAGAAGAGAATGTCAAAAATCAAAAGAACAATCCTATTATTGTGATGAGTGCCACTTTTATGGTTAGTGGTTGTTTGGATTAAATTGCATTCAGGCGTTTCATACATTCAAATTACGTCATGTAACTTTGTGTGTGTGGGCAGCGGTGGTGCAGTGGTTAACGCACTTTGACTAAGAACCTTGCCACCTCTTCTTGGTTCTTTCGGTAAAGTCACGTAGAATGGAAACAATAAAAATAATAAAATAAAACATAATAAAATAATATAAAAAAAATAATCCTTTATTTTATTGTTTTTATTGTTTTCATTCTATGTGACTTTACCGAAAGAACCAAGAAGATGAATCCCTGCAGTCACGAAAGCTTTAAATCGGAACCTTGCCACCCTGAGTTTGATTCCTTTACCAACCCCTACTGACCAGCCATGGTCAGGTATGGTCAAATTACCCCCATGCCTGCAACGTCATCAGGAGAGGCCTTCATCCAACAGTGGATTTTCAAACGGCTGTAAAATGTTATTGTGATTCTTTTAAGTTTGTGTGTAATATTTATGTACACGTGTCACTCTGTAATAAATGTGTCCGTGCTGGTTGATTGAAAATGTAATATTTAAAAAAAAATCTCATTAACACTCGCAAGTCAAATATTTCTCTCCTGTGCCAATAGTCCCGGAAGGTGAACCTGGATGGCGAAAGGAGGAATGACGTCGGGAAAACGGACATCATTGGGAGCGGCAGGGAGATTCCCATTAAACAGGTGTGAGAAGGCGTTTGGTATGAGAGGCGTTTGGTATAAAACCTTTTTTTCTGCCTTCTGCATCGGTGCAATGATCGGGGGTGGTCATTTGACAATCTTACAATTGCAAGTTCAAATCCCGGTGAGGTGAAGGTGGTCAATTCAGCCATATCATCCAGATGGGGGTCACTAAAATGAATACCACTTTGTCGACAGTCAACAGCAGTTGTCCTCTGGATAGACTCAACGCCGGCTATAGGAATTGAGAATTTCCACCACTGGCTCAGAGTTGTAAATGTGAGATGAGTGTCACCGTTGGTTTGAGTTGCAAACCACTTTGACTTGATGTGAAATATGAAACTATTTCCTGCCGAATCTAAAGCAGTTTAACACATAGGCTTTCACGATTGTAAATGTTGTTGATTTGCTTTCCAACACCCCGGTGTACTATACTTGTAACGAATTGGCATGTCCTCTTTACGTGACAAACCTTACTAATTGGCTGTGTCGGGTGGTGGCGGGTTTAACGACACATTTATATTTACGCAATCTAACCCAAAAAATTACCTATATTATGGACGAATCTAAAGCATTGACATTTTGGCCCCTTGTGGCTTTTTTAGGATGTAGGTGCATTGAACCACAAGTAAACAAACGTCATTGAATCATCGTATATGGAGACTGCAAATGTGGGCTAATACACACGTACGTTTGCGCACACGTAAAGGTATAAAGCCTTGGGCTCTTCCTATGGGACAAAAAAATAAAAAATTTGCGATATGAATGAAATGAAAAATGTTTTTAAGTAGTCTGAGAATGTCACCTTTGCTGTCGCCATTACTGCCGGACAAAAGAACGCGTCTTCGGGATCCGAGTGAGAATGAAAGGCTTCGGGGCTGAGAGCTCGTCGGCCGTTAAGCCAGTGATGATGCGCACGCGGTTGGTTCCCTGTCGCACTAAGCGAGGCCGGCGGCATATGCCGGTGGTCGGTAATTATCTCGTAGCTGGCGAGCAAATCAGGGCGGCTCATTTGGGACCGTTTGTGGACAGCCCTTGAAATGTTCGGCTTGATTTTTTTTCCGCTGAATGGGCTGTCAAGTGCGCAAATCATCGTCGTAATTATCTCTAGATCAGAGCCTTCAGCAGAGGACCGAAATTATCGTATTGGTGCCCGATCAAATGAATGTGAGGAGCAAAGCTTCGCCTGAATTTGCATTTTAAGCTGCTTGTTCTGTTTTTTGTTAAAATTTTGACAATGATTTTTTTCTTTCTCCCACATGTTTTATTTTATCTTTACAGTCAGACTGGCTTAAAAAAATGTTTCACTGCTTAAATCGCGGGCTCGGCAGCAGTAATTTGAACGCCGCTTGCCAGACAGCGAGCGCGCTCGCGCAGACATCTGGCCACTCCGTTGTCAGAGTAATGGATGGCTGTAATTAGGCCCTAACGACGCGGCCATTTGCCCCCTGATTGTGAATATCAGACGACGTTCCGGCCTCATTAGGGGCGATGTCACGGGCCCTCGTTGCGCGAATAGCTCACAGCTGGCGAACGGGCCCACCGAGAAGGAAACAGCGGCGCTCTGATCGGCACCGACTAATCGCGGCCTCTCCTTAATTGCTTCCGTTTCCCAAACAGCATAGGAACAGGCATTGTGTGCGCGTGTGCGCGTGTGTGTATATGTCTTTGTTTGCATATATGTGTGCATATGAGCGCTTGTGCATGTGCACGAGTGTGCGTCCGCGACAGCGGCATCTGTACGTTGCATGTTAAAAGACATTATTTCCTTCCTTCGCCCTCTGTGTTTTAGTCGCCGATGTTATTTCCGTATCAACCGTATTAACGGGGCATGCTCATGTAGTGTTGACGCAACGCACCCCTGTCGTCGCCCGTCCAACTGCACACCCCTGCACCCTTCTTTTTCCAAAGTCAAGTAATCGCCGTGGAAACACGGGGCCCTTGTTTTGTCAATGCAGAATTTTCTTTTGTGCTGCGCCTCACCCAAATCTGCCCCCCCCCGCCAACTCTCTTCCCTGTAATGAGCGATAACAAGCCGATCGAGACAAGTCCAATAGGCGAGCCTCGACTTTCATTGTGAGGGAACTTGGAATTGCTGCCTATCCCTAACTGGCGCCTCGGTGGAAAAATAATTAGGCTTTTTTTGGGATGCACGTGAGCCTGAGCGATTTGATCTCAGGTGACAAATAGTGATGTGCATTTGCAAAGATCTGTCATCGATGCTTATAATAATGTCAATCTTCACTATGCCTCGACAGCCACCAGAGTCGTGCTTTTCATGTCTGTCGATTAACCGTGGCGCGTAATGCATGTTCCTGTTTCACATTCCAGCGGTTACATTGTCCGCTTGCAGGTGGTGATTTATTTTCTTCCCTTTCTGGTTAATGAAGAGCTCAGTTTCGGTCACACAAGGAGAAATTATTACGTCGAGGCATTTCTTTTTTATTGAGTGACAACGTCATTATTCCACTTGGGGGGATATTGGCAGACGCATGTATTCGCACACACAATAGTCTTGTGAGAATGTCTTAAGTGGGCATCGCGTCGATAAATCCCTCTTTTAATTGCACTGCTCCTACCCCTGGATAGAAGCACAACCAAAAATAGCTGCCATTTACCACTGACTGTTGGTAAAGGGCACCTCAACATTCGTACCAGGTTTGGTGTACTTTAATGCCATGTAGAGTAGTAGAGTGACTGGAGGTCATTGGACAGATCCAGGTGTTAAGGGTTAACAAAATAGGGTATGCAAGATTGCACATGCACAAACAAACTAAAACACACACAAGAGATAAACACCCCCCATTTAACTTTATAAACTGTTGGAGAAAGTGCTATTAGCCATCCCTAATAAGGCTGGCATTGCAAGCAATGGGTTAGGGTCCTCTGGAGCATAAAGGTTTCGAGACTCAGAGGCTTTCCAGGATTATTAATTAAATAGCATAATTATCATTCATTTAAGATTGAATCTACCTAGGGGAGACTCAAGGACAGGTTCAGATACCAATTATCACTGATGTGCCTCATTGCCAGGAATCAAATTTGGATAAGCAGAATAGGAGCTTGGTCCGCTAGCCACTGTAACACTGTCCCCAATAAACACAAAGATCCCCTCTATAGCCTTTACCAGACTGTTGGGGCAAGCGCTGTTAGCGAGCGCCTATTTAGGCCGGCGCAGGTGGTGTGGCCAATGCCATGCCCATCCGCCTGTGTTCCAACTGCTAATATGTAGACATCGCACTATGTGCTTATTTCAGGCTGAGTTTACCAAGGGGAGGCTCAGGACTGGTTCAGATAGTTGTCACCAATGTTGGCTATCAACGGGAAATGAACTCGGATAACCAGGTTCGTATCGGAGTGCGCTAACCACTACGCTACTGCTCCCCACATACATTTAGTAAAATATATATATATTTAATGCACATGTTCATTCAAAGTGATGTGTAAGAATATGCATGCACTCGTGCAGCAATCGGCTTCAGCGAAGTAAAATCTCGATCTTATTTAATAAATGTTTGCATTTCGGGCTGTAAATGCAGACAGTACAGACACATTGTGAGCAGCCGAGCATGACGCCAGGTTTTCACAAACGCTGTCGACGAAATGGTCGAGTTTTTTTGTGATGACTTCACGTAATTAACACGTGCATCTATTTCTCGGCGATATGGATTCGTTGACGATCTTTAAACCATTACGCGACACCCCCCCCCCCTCCACCACTACTCCGCTACCCGGCTAGAACTTTTGAGGATGCGATTGTAACACAGAGTTTTAAAGTGCAGGCGCAGTTGGCAGTCTGGTGGTGAATGCTGTGCTTAAACTTAATTGCATGTGCCTCATTAAATGCACACTGAGTCGGATTCAAGATTCACCGAGAGAGTGAGATGGAGATAAAAACATATTCTTGTTCCGTGTTACAACTTTGCTCACGTATTCCTTGACCTGTGATAGGCGCAACTTTGCCAAGTATCAATTAGACTAAGCACAAAATCACGGGTAATAGGGCTCCTCCTAAAAACGTCTTCTTTCATGAAGCCCTTGGTGGCTGCATTAAGGCAGTTTTAAGAACGGGTCTTTTATTGTTACGCGAAGGGAGAGAAGCCCTTAACTGCCTTGTGATTGTCTTTAATTTAATTCCGTGACACAGTTGTACGTGAGCCGATCACTGTGCGTATCCAGTTTAATAAACTGCATATTGGAAACAGGACGATGGCACTTAGCCGAGGACATGCCTGGGAAGCTCCCCGCTTCACTATGGGATACTGTTTAATGACGGCTCTAAAGGGGGATTAGCGTAACTGCAGCGATTGCACTGCTTTTCATGTATAAAATTCCTCCGCTTAGATAAAGTTTAAAGTGAAATATTGATATTCCTTTCAAAAAGTATTTTCTGGATCCACAACCCTCCCATGTATTACGTGCCGAGTCAATGCCAATCCGAGTCTCATTATTTTGCTAACCGCTTTTTAGCGCCACGGTACAAGATCCTTTCCGCTATTCCGAAGCACTTAATTAAATAAGTCACACTTTCCCGCGCGCTGGATTAAGAATCGACACGAGCAGCACAACAAGGATACGCGCGCTTGCCGCTCCAGCACAGCTCTTCTCTTCTTTCTCTACGCGCCTCTCCGGACGGTCCTCGTGTCGTGTCCTCCCGCCGCACCGCCGGCGCTTTTGTAACCCGGCCCCCGCGCCGTGACGAGTGTCGTGCGTTATCCACGAGCCGCAGACGGGCGGAAGAGATGCGCGCTCGGCCCATTTCCTCCCCCACCCCCACCCCCAGCGGCCGCGCGGTGCGAGCGAATTAAAGAGACTTTATCTGGATGGCCGCAAATTCATCTCTCGCCGGTAACGAATGTTGACGGCCTTGAGCGAGGGAGTCCTGACCCCCCGAGTCGCCCGCCTTTTAACCCGCGTGATGGAAGGCCGTCGTGGTGGCGGCAGATGGATCCGTCCCCGCCATGCTCTCATTACCGCCTCCTCGTAGCCCCCTTACTTTGTCG